TGACCATCCCTCCTGGGGGGTGACTTCTCGCTTTCTGTCTCTCTGTCTCTCTCTGTCTGTCTGGCGAGCGCACATGCCCTATAGTGAAAACCTCTCAAAAAAAATTTTTGTTTTACATTTATTTTATTTAACTTTATTTATTTATTTTAACTTGTCCAGAGAGGGACAGAGTGTGTGTGATAAAGAGAAACTGAGAAAGCAAGCCACCAGGTCTGGGATTTGAACCACGATCAGCCATGTGGGAGCTCAGTGACCTTAACTACCACACCACCTGCTGGCTCCTCTTTTTCTTTTTTGAATTTTTAAGAATTATTTTATTTAACTTTATTAATTTATGTATTTATTTTTAATTTGACCAGAGAGAGAGAGAAAGCAAGCCGCCAGGTCCAGGACTTGAACCGCAGTCAGCCATGTGGGTGTCCAGTGCCCTTAACCACCATGCCACCTGTCAGTCCCTTTTCGTTTTAACTTTTTTTGGCCATAGGATGTGTGTGCTTACTGGAAATAGAGACAGTGAGAAGGAGAGTGAGCAATGTCCTCCACCATGGGGGATGGCCACGCCATAATCCCTTCTCTTCCATTCTCCTCCTGGGATCTTGGGCATGCACGCACACGCCTCTGCTGTGATTTTCAAGCTGCTGGGTCCGGGGCTCGAACCATGGAGCCAGCCATGTGGGAATCCAGCGTTTCTACCACCATAACACCTGCTGGCCCTGGGGACCCCATCCTTGTGGAGACTGTACAACCTTCTGTTGTAAGGGAGGGCCATTGTTTATCTGATCGCTTCCCTCTGGCCGGACATCTGGGTTCTTTCCCCATCTTCTGCTTTTCGGAGGCTACAAATAAATACATGAGTCATTTCCCCTCGTGTGACTTTAATCTGGTGAAATCAACGTGCGAGTTAGGGGAAAGGTTCAGGCCCTCGGCAGATGGTTCCTCTCTCTGCTTTGCTCACTCCAATCCTGCCTGCTGGCCTTTGCTGGCTTCTATGTAGTATCTTTTTAATTCATTAATTTGGGACTAGCAGATGTCATAATGGTTATGTCGCTGGACTCCCACGTAGTCCACTGTGGTTCAGGGCCCGGACCCGGCGGCTTAAAACTCACACTGGGCGCGTGTGCGTGCGTGCCCAAGATCCCAAGAGGAGAATGGAGGAGAAGGGATCGTAGCGTGGCCATCCCCCCTGGGGGGTGATTTCTCGCTTTCTGTCTCTCTGGCAAGTGCACATGTCTTATATCAAAAATCTCTGTCTTAGAGGGAACCAGCAGTTAGCGTCATGGCTGTGTCGCTGGACTCCCACGTAGTCGACCGCAGTTCGCGTCCCAGACCCGGTGGCTTAAACTCACGCCGGGCGCGTATGCGTGCATGCCCAAGATCCCGAGAGGAGAATGGAGGAGAAGGGATTGTGGTGTGGCCATCCCCCCTGGGGGGTGATTTCTCGCTCTCTGTCTCTCTGTCTCTCTCTGTCTGTCTGGCGAGCACAGGCGCCCTATAGCGAAAATCTCTCCAAAAAAATAAAAAACAGAAGCTAGCCAGACACTTTCTAACCAGTAACAAAGCAG